GGCGAGCGCGAGACGTTATTTATTAAGTCAAATGAGCCGCTTTAATAAATATTTAGCAGAAATCCCTTTGGGAACAACTTCTCCGTTTATGTCATATAGCTGGAAATGCGGCTTCATTTGTCAGAAGTGACCGCGCTTTGTACTGTGCGACAATTTATATTGAAGGCGCATAAATTACACAGAGCCTGTCCCCTCCCCCGAGGGTGATCAACCTTCATCAAGGCAGCCACACACACAGCCATCCATTATGGATGACCTATTTATGGGTGAGATACGGGAAGGAAGTTCCACCGCAATCTGTGTTCCTCCATAGTCCACAATCCGCGTTCCTCCATAGTCCACAATCTGCGTTCCTCCATAGTCCGCAATAGTCCGCAATCCGCGTTCCTCCATAGTTCACAATCCGGGTTCCTCCATAGTCTGCAATCCGCGTTCCTCCATAGTTCGCAATCAGCGTTCCTCCATAGTCCGCAATCCGCGTTCCTCCATAGTTCACAATCCGGGTTCCTCCATAGTCTGCAATCTGTGTTCTTCCATAGTCTGCAATCTGCGTTCCTCCATAGTCCGCAATCCGCGTTCCTCCATAGTCCACAATCCGCATTCCTCCATAGTCCACAATCCGCGTTCCTCCATGGTCCACAATCCGCGTTCCTCCATAGTCCACAATCCGCATTCCTCCATAGTCCACAATCCGCGTTCCTCCATAGGTCCACAATCCGCGTTCCTCCATAGTCCACAATCCGCGTTCCTCCATAGTCCGCAATCCGCGTTCCTCCATAGTCCACAATCCGCGTTCCTCATAGTCCGCAATCCGCGTTCCTCCATAGCCCGCAATCCGCGGTCCTCCATAGTCCGCAATCCGCGTTCCTCCATAGTCCACAATCCGGGTTCCTCCATAGTCCACAATCCGGGTTCCTTCATAGTCCGCAATCCGCGTTCCTCCATAGTCCGCAATCCGCGGTCCTCCATAGTCCGCAATCCGCGGTCCTCCATAGTCCGCAATCCGCGTTCCTCCATAGTCAACAATCCGGGTTCCTCCATAGTCCACAATCCGGGTTCCTTCATAGTCCGCAATCCGCGTTCCTCCATAATTCACAATCTGCATTCCTTCATAGTCCGCAATCCGCGTTCCTCCATAGTCCACAATCCACGTTCCTCCATAGTCCACAATCCGGGTTCCTCCATAGTCCACAATCCGCGTTCCTCCATAGTCCACAATCCGGGTTCCATAATAGTCCGCAATCCGCGTTCCTTCATAGTCAGCAATCCGGGTTCCTCCATACTTCACAATCCGGGTTCCTCCACAGTTCACAATCCGCGTTTCTCCATAATTCACAATCCGCGTTCCTCCCTAGTTCACAATCCGTGTTCCTCCCTAGTTCACAATCCGGGTTTTCTCCCTCGGTCTCTGTCAGATGCCATTCGTGTGTTTTGTGTCCTAAAGGGGTAAAATGTTATATGTGTATTTCTTTTGTCTTTCTTCCATATTTGATCAATGAAATTGTTACTAAACCCACAACAGTAAAATCAGTCTGTATATGTATAGGTACGTATAGCTCCCAACTGTCCCTGGTTTAAAGGGACTGTCCCTGAAGGGTCCAGGGAGAGCGGATATAGTGAATGCGGGGTCCGGGGGGAGCGGATATAGTGAATGCGGGGTCCGGGGAGAGCGGATATAGTGAATGCGGGGTCCGGGGAGAGCGGATATAGTGAATGCGGGGTCCGGGAGAGCGGATATAGTGAATGCGGGGTCCGGGGGGAGCGGATATAGTGAATGCGGGGTCCGGGGAGAGCGGATATAGTGAATGCGGGGTCCGGGGAGAGCGGATATAGGGAATGCGGGGTCCGGGGAGAGCGGATATAGTGAATGCGGGGTCCGGGGAGAGCGGATATAGTGAATGCGGGGTCCGGGGAGAACGGATATAGTGAATGCGGGGTCCGGGGAGAGCGGATATAGTGAATGCGGGTCCAGGGAGAGTGGATATAGTGAATGCGGGGTCCGGAGACAGCGGATATAGTGAATGCGGGGTCCGGGGAGAGCGGATATAGTGAATGCGGGGTCCAGGGAGAGCGGATACAGTGAATGCGGGGTCCGGGGAGAGCGGATATAGTGAATGCGGGGTCTGGGGAGAGCGGATATAGTGAATGCGGGGTCCGGGAGAGCGGATATAGTGAATGCGGGGTCCGGGGAGAGCGGATATAGTGAATGCGGGGTCCGGGGAGAGCGGATATAGTGAACGCGGGGTCCGGGGAGAGCGGATATAGTGAATGCGGGGTCCGGGGAGAGCGGATATAGTGAATGCGGGGTCCGGGGAGAGAGGATATAGTGAATGCGGGGTCCGGGGAGAGCGGATATAGCGAATGCGGGGTCTGGGGAGAGCAGATATAGTGAATGCGGGGTCCGGGGAGAGCGGATATAGTGAATGCGGGGTCTGGGGAGAGCAGATATAGTGAATGCGGGGTCCGGGGACAGCAGACACCGTTATGAAACCCCTCAGCCTCTCGCAGAACTCACCTGGTCCCCATGCCCCGTGTGTCCCTTCTTCCGTTCCTTCTTCCGAAGGTCAGTGCTGCCCCCTCTTAAAAATGCAGCCCTAGTCAAATGCCTTGTTTGCCTTGTGGTAAATACACCCCTGCCCCCATGCCAACATTTTTTAAAAAATGGCATTGTTCCCCCCCCCCCCCCCCTAAAAATTCATCCCAGACCCTTATCTGAGTATGCAGCGGGGCAGGTCAGGAAAAGTGGGGCAACGAGCGAGTGTTCCCTCTCCCTCTTGAGCCATATGAGGCCACATGCCTTCAACATATAGGGGGGTGCTTTGGGGCAGAAGGGCTCCCCCCGCAAAGCACCTTGCCACCCCAGATCCCAGCCCCTCCCTCATGTGAATGACTATGGGGTACCGCTAATCATTCACAAAAAAAAAAAGTTTAGTGTAAAAAATGCCAGGAGCCACGCTTTGACAAGTCCTTTATTCAAAACAAAAATTAAAAAATGTCCCCCGAGGTGGATCCAACATCAATCACGATGCCTGTCGCCGCCGCTACCCCCAAAAAAGTAAAAAACGCTCCGCTCTCGGTATCGCCTTCGACTTCTGACAGCTGCACTGGCCTGATAGTTCTTAAATATCTATGTGACGTCATCGTGTGCTGTGATTGGCCAAAGCATTGCCCCTGACCACAGTCAGATTAGAGTGCAGTGCATTGTGGGGTGAACAGCCCGCCGAACGCCCTGTTTGCCAAACACACAAACAGCTAATGTTCGAGTCGAACATCAAACCCAACACTAGTAATTATTGGTGTTTTATCACTGAAACCTTTCATATCTGCTCACCATGCACTCTGCGGGTCCACCCAGGGGCGGACTAACAGCTCATGGGCCCCTGGGCAATAAGGGATCATGGGGCCCCTCTGTCCTCACCCACATCTAAAAAAGCCCATGAAAGGTACTAGGGGGCATCTCATGGGCCCCCTACTGACCCTGGGCCCTCAGGCAGTGCCTGAGTGCCCAAATGGTCAGTCCGCCCCTGGGTCCACCCAAATACAAGAGGAAGGAATCAAGGATACCAACTCCACAATTCCTCCCCCTGGGCGTGTGTGGAGCCAGGGGCGGACTGACAACTCATGGGGCCCCCGGGCAATAGGGGATCATAGGGCCCCTGTGTCCTTGCCCAAAATCAAAAAAGCCTATGAAAAAGTTACCAGGGGCATCTCATGGGCCCTCTACTAACCCCGGGCCTCGGGCAGTGCCTGAGCTTCCAAAGGGTCAGTCCACCCCTGGTGTGGAGGCAAGAAAAATCGTCAGACTACAGGGAAATCACAAAGAAATATAGCCGGGGGCAGCTACACAAGTTCACAAATAATTTCTCCAACGCTCAAAAGGAAAGTCTCTAGGCTGGATTATGTGGTAAGGTGAAGGTTTCCTCCGGGACAATGCCTTAGCGGTGCAGATCTCCTCAGACAGGGGACTCCAACCACAAACCGAAAAAAGAACACACAGGGGGCACAAATGCCTAGCGCATTACTCAAGATTCCTGTGGTGTCCAGTACATACAGTATATTAGGAGATGAACATTTGTTGGCTTGAGCTCTGAGGAAGGCGTACATTCCCGAAACGCGTCAGTTCACCGGAACTGCCAACAGTGGGAATCTGCTACCACGTTGGTCGATCGGTCGAAATTCGATCATTTGCGTCATGCATATCGCTTCTGTCCTTTGTAAGTAGGAAATTGGCTTTCTTTTGATTTTTCTCAATAAATCTCGAGTAATGCGCGAGGGCGTTTGCGCCCCTGTGTGTTCTTTTTAAAGGGGGCAGCTATGTTCAAAGAGAAACAAAACTTGATCATCAAAAAGTGGGGCATGTATATACACCCACCTATTTCCGGGGAGGGGTTGCACTTATATCTATTCATTGTTACGATTATTATACAGGATGTATATGGCGCCAACAGTTAATGTAGCGCTTTACAACATAAGGGCAGACAATACGATTGCCATACAATTTAACGTGGTATTAAAAAAAAAAAAAATAACAAACATGTCATACTTGCCTACTCTGTAATGGTTTTGCACAGAGCAGCCCTGATCCTCTTGTGTCGGGTCCCCCACCAGCGTTTCCGGCTTCTCCCCCTTGACCAGTGCCCCCAATAGCGAGCCGCTTGCTATGGGGGCACTGGTGCGTGCTCCCTCTCAAGCCCAGCTCTGTCCGACCATAAGACACATAGAGCCATGGCTTGCCTCCCCTCTTCCGTCGCTCTTTTCCCCATTGGCTCACTGGCTGTGATTGACAGTAATGGGAGCCAATGGCTCCCGCTGCTGTCTCAGCCAATGAGGAGAGGGTGTCCCAGGACAGCCAAGACTCTCGTGCACATCACTGGATCGAGAGGTGAGTGAGTATTACGGGGGATGTGGTGGTAGCAGCAGACAGAACATTTTTAACTTTGTGCATAGAATGCAACCCAGGTCAGTTAGCTGCAACTCAAAGAACCCCATGCTAAGATTAGTCCATTGGTGGTCATTGGGAGAATGCCCCTTATGTTGGTGGTGGTCAATGGGAAGAATACTCCCCCTACAGTGGTGGCTAGAATGCCATCCCTTCAGTTATGCCTACGGCTCTGCCAAGTCGTGTTGGACCTGAAACTATGGAGGTACTATCACATGGAAGGTCAGTTAGCCGCAGCTCAAGGAACCCCTGGCCACTTCTGGGGGAACCCTGGTGGTCAGAATGCCATCCCTTCAATTATGCCTATGGCTCTACCAAGTGTTGTTGAACCTGAAACTATGGAGGTACTATCACATGGAAGGTCAGTTAGCCGCAGCTCAAGGAACCCCTGGCCACTTCTGGAGCAACCTTGGAGGTCAGAATGCCATCCCTTCAATTATGTCTATGGCTCTACCAAGTGTTGTTGGACCTGAAACTATGGAGGTACTATCACATGGAAGGTCAGTTAGCCGCAGCTCAAGGAACCCCTGGCCACTTCTGGAGGAAACCTGGTGGTCAGAATGCCATCACTTCAATTATGCCTACGGCTCTGCCAAGTGTTGTTGGACCTGAAACTATGGAGGTACTATCACATGGAAGGTCAGTTAGCCGCAGCTCAAGGAACCCCTGGCCACTTCTGGAGGAACCCTGGTGGTCAGAATGCCATCACTTCAATTATGCCTATGGCTCTGCCAAGTGTTGTTGGACCTGAAACTATGGAGGTACTATCACATGGAAGGTCAGTTAGCCGCAGCTCAAGGAACCCCTGGCCACTTCTGGAGGAACCCTGGTGGTCAGAATGCCATCACTTCAATTATGCCTACGGCTCTGCCAAGTGTTGTTGGACCTGAAACTATGGAGGTACTATCACATGGAAGGTCAGTTAACCGCAGCTCAAGGAACCCCTGGCCACTTCTGGAGGATCCCTGGTGGTCAGAATGCCATCACTTCAATTATGCCTACGGCTCTGCCAAGTGTTGTTGGACCTGAAACTATGGAGGTACTATCACATGGAAGGTCAGTTGGCCGCAGTTCAAGGAACCCCTGGCCATTTCTGGAGGAACCCTGGTTGAAAATGGCTACACTAAACCAATATTCAGATACAAAAGGTTTGATACCAATAAAAATCCATGAAAAATACAATCCTACATCTGATCATTTCACAACATGGCGACTCTGGTTGTATAACACGCTAATTGTATCATTTGGCTATACATCATGTTACATAAGGAAACATTTACGTCCTGGTGATCACTGGAGCGCTCACACTTGTCTTCTTCTTCCCGCTATAAGCTCCTCTGCTTTTCAGATTTAATCCAGCGATCAGCATAATCAGAACATTAATTTATTTGCGCTCATGTTTTTTTATCCAATTTCAGCGCGCCTTCTTCCCGTCCTCTCACCCTCTATTTTTTTTTAGAGCGATATTAAAAATAAGCAATAATATATCTAATACACTCGAGCGGAGAGATAATGCCGAGTGCGTCTCAGAATCCTAATATTGGGCAGGAGCGGGCGACGGGTTGAAAACAAATTTAAAACCTGATAAAGGCCGAAGCAGATGCTATCCATAATGCTAACAACTTGTCATATGCCGAGATGTATTTTGTGTCCCGTGGGAAGGAGATGTCTCATTTCTCCTCATTGTACGGCGGTAACATTTATTGTCTCCGAGCCGCGGCTACGAGGTGTAGTTATTCACTTCTCTGATGTCATTTGTCAGTATGGAAGGCTTCCAATTTAGGTGGATTGTCACTCCTCCGCACCCGGACCTAGCAGCCAGCCAATCAGAAAGTCAGGTGATTCATTAGCGCGGCGGAAGACGTTGATGCAATTGCGGCCTCCATAGTCGCGCAGCGGCGGAAGGGAAAGACGAGCGGTCTGTAAGAGACGATGACACGCCGTGTTAAGGAAGCGCTCATACGTACCTTGGCTTGATTTATGTTCATTGGATGTAATCTGTAAACAGATGAAATAATTTATTACGACTTGTTAAAAGCTGTCAGCGTTCAGAGAAATGGAGTCATTGGAAAGGGAAGTCTATTATATCGTCAACGACGAGCGAGCATTGGGAGTTATTACTGTCAGCCCTGCCTGCTGGGAGTCGTTTTTGTGTGTTTGTGCTTTTTTTTTTTTGTCTTTCCATTTTATATTTTTGAGAGAGAATTTCATAAACAAAAATGTGTAGATTGTCCCTTTGTATATCACACGGTATTGTACAGTGAGACAATTGGGGCAGCACAGGGGCTAAATGGTTAGCATTTCCACCTGGCAGTACTAGGGTCATTGGTTCGAATCCCAACCACGGCACCACCTGCCTGGAGTTTGCATATTCTGCCTGTGCGGGTTTCCTCCCACACTCCAAAGACATGCTGGTAGATGAATTGAATCTTCCCTTACTTAGGAAAAGATGTAATGGAGAATTGCACAGTGGGTGGTTTTATTTTTTGGGGGAGGGGGGTAGGTCTTAGGGTGGGAGCAGGGGCGGACTGACCATTTGGAAACTCGGGCACTGCCCGAGGGCCCGGGGTAAGTAGGGGGCCCCATGAGATGCCCCTGGTACCTTTTTCATAGGCTTTTTTTGACTTTGGGCAAGGACATAGGGGCCCCATGATCCCCTATTGCCCGGGGGGCCCCATGAGTTGTCAGTCCGCCCCTGGGTGGGAAGGGGTATTAGATAGGGGGGGGGGGGGTAGTGGGAATAATGTTAGAAAGGGACATAACTGATGGTTTTGTATGTTATATGAGATTGATGATGGAACATGTTTTTATATGGAAAATGAATAAAAATTTAAATAAATAAAAAAAAAAGTGAATTGTCTCCTGGCTAAATTGTCCCTAGTATGTGTATGAATGTGAGTTAGGGACCTTAGATTGTACGCTCCTCGGGGGCGGGGACTGATGTTAATGTCAATATATATGTAAAGCGCTGTGTAAATTGATGGCGCTATATATGTACCTGAAATAAATAAATTGAGACAAAATCTCTACAGCTCCACCCATTTTTAATATTTCCTCCTCCATGATCCCCCCTATGACTTTACCATTCAGATCAGATTTTTTCAACTTTTGAACCAGAATGAACTCTTGCAATCTCATCGAAACCCTGCTCAGATTAGTCATTGGGAAAATGCCCCTTACATTGGGGGTCAGTGGGAAGAATGTCCCTTACATTGGGGGTCAGTGGGAAAATGCCCCTTACATTGGGGGTCAGTGGGAAGAATGTCCCTTACATTGGGGTCAGTGGGAAGAATGTCCCTACATTGGGGTCAGTGGGAAGAATGTCCCTTACGTTGGGGGTCAGTGGGAAGAATGTCCCTTACATTGGGGGGTCAGTGGGAAGAATGTCCCTTACATTGGGGGTCAGTGGGAAGAATGTCCCTTACATTGGGGGTCAGTGAGAAGAATGTCCCTTACATTGGGGGTAAGTGGGAAGAATGTCCCTTACATTGGGGGGTCAGTGGGAAAGAATGCCCCTTACATTGGGGGGTCAGTGGGAAGAATGTCCCTTACATTGGGGGTCAGTGGGAAGAATGCCCCTTACATTGGTGATCAGTGGGAAGAATGTCCCTCACATTGGAGGTCAGTGGGAAGAATGTTCCTTACATTGGGGGTCAGTGGGAAGAATGTCCCTTACATTGGGGGGTCAGTGGGAAGAAGGTCCCTTACATAGGGGGTCAGTGGGAAGA